CCCCAAAACCCCAAAACCCCAAAACCCCAAAACCCCATGGTAAGATTACGTTATTGATCAATTATATTAAAAATTCCGGATTTACTCTCTCAGTTCAAGATAGAACGACTGAAAGAATGCAAACGCTATTGAGGCTAGTCCAGTGTAGATAGAAGCAAGGAGTTGATCTGAGCAAGTCAGTCCCATTAGTTTTAAAGGATCCGTCTCTTTGGAGAACTCCAATTGCTCCTTAATGATGTCAATTTGCTCAAGAAGTTTGTCGAAATATTCTTCTCTTTTGTTCCTTTTTAAATTCATGCTTTGGAGCATCTCTGCAAACTTCTTCTGATTTAAATATCTTCAGTATTTCTGTGAAATAACAAGACCATAGTTAGTTTTTGCTTTCCATACTTGTTTCTTAATCCATAAAATAGATCTCTTGTGTTTATCATAAAATTTGTTCACCTTCGCTCCCATTCTGATAATGGTCAGCATTATTCCTAAAATTACTAACACATCAAAAGTTCCGGTGATATAAAACCCGATGGAAAAGTCATATCTCAGCAATCTTAGTAAGGAGAGGACTATCAAAGCAAACAAGGATAGATAGAAGAACATGAATACTGAGCAGTACACGAATATTCTCTGAGTGTACTTCTTACCCAGGTCTAGTGCTGCCTCTCTTAGAAGCAACCAACTATTTAAATTTCTAATGCTTCAGATGTTTAGGGTCGGAAAATATGATGAAAATATGAAATCCTTATCTTTGTTCGGTGAAATCAGATTATTCAAGATTTTCATAAAGAAAAGCTTCCTTCTGAAGTCTATCACTCCAGCATACATGAAGGTTAGGTTAACTCCATAGATCAACATTATGATTATAGATTCAAACACGATAAGACTGTATTCGTACCAGTGTAGGCCCAGTTTAAAGTCATTTTCGATCAGATTGGATAGTGTGGGGAGAATTAGTCTGACAATAACAATCACTATAAGAGGTGCAAAGGAACTATTCAAAGTGCTTTCTAACAACCCCATTTCTCTAAGAATTGGCTCTCCTTTAAATAATTTCCTGCTTACAATTGATTCAGATTTCTTAACTTTTTCCTTGGGTCTGAATCTAGCATAAATCTGCATAATAGACTTTTTAGAATCTCTTAAATTAGCTCTTCGAGGAGTGGAAATTTCTGGCTGATGAATCATTGTCATCTCTTCATCAAATGACATCTCAGAAGCTCTTCTCTTGTTACTAATAATTTGTTTTTGAAGATGGATACTATTTTTGAATTCAGAGTTATTCTTTGAGTCTTCATAATAATCTAAAGCCATTTTAACAGGATTCTTCTAAGAACTTACCATCTTTAGATAGCTTTATGTCTAAAGCCTTTGGAAGATCTTTTGAGAATGTAAATTCGAACTCATCTTCGTTGATTTCAATCCTAGCCTTAGTTGCTGCAATTTCTTGTCTTAATGTTTTGGGTGTTAATTCAAGCCATCCAAAGAATAAAAAGTCTGCAGTGATCCAGTCGAAATTTGCCTTGGACTTCAGGAGTTTATACCGCATCTTTGACATGAAGCCGTATCTGACTCCGATAACAAAGGCTCTTCACATCATTATTACAACTAGGAATCTCCACCCATTGTCACCATACCAACTTTTATTCGGAATTATAAAAGTTAAAACTAAATATGAAAGAAAGCAGAAGTGGGCTACTGTTTGAGGAGCTGCAAGTTTTACCTGTTTCCCAATCAGGAACCCCATGTTCTTTGTAAGATTCCTTCCTTCGATCAATATGAGGACCAATCCGAAGAGATAGCCAAAACAGAACCATCCCATATGATAAATGAAGACTTTCAGTCACCGTAAAAAGTTGAACTTTGGGTTGTACTCTTGAGTGTCAGCATAATTCTTGGTGATGATTGACTTCATGAATTTCTTAATATCTCCTTCGATCTTAATCTTTTTGAGCAAAAGCTTTATAAAACTATTCCCTGACCCTTTTTGGAGGGGTCCAACACTCTCCTTCTCTAATGAAGAGTCTGAGGATACACTTTTCTCAACGTTAGCATAATCATTTGGACTTTTCTCGAACGTTGGGTAAAACTCAATGTTTTCTTCTTCTCTTACTCCGAGTCTCTGGGATATCCTGTAATTTAGTAGGTCTCTTCTTGATGAACCTCTTATTGAAGGCTTTTTTGACTTGCTTATTTCCTGAGTTTTTGTCTTTGGATCTCTTTTGTGTCGAACTTCCATGCGTTTTCCAAGATTTTGGAAGAATTTTCATTCACACTAAATGATAATAGGGATATCTAACCTATGAAGTTCGATAGACTTTTTCTGTGTATCTGGCTTATTTGACTTCTTGGAGTCTTCTTCAGAAGATTTATTAGACATAGCTTCTTGTTCACTCTCTGATCCATGGAAGAATGGCTTCACCTTTTCCAAGTCTGTAAATCTAAATAATGGTGGAAGCAAGAATTCACTAAAATGCAACTATTTTTAAGTAAATAAGCTCTAGAAGTTTAGAAATTAAGCTGAATTAGTGGTTAATGTTTAGTAAAGCAGCATAGCCAACTTCTGTGTGAATTTTTGATAAATTTTCCAATCCGCAATTTTTGTACAAATTATTGTGAGCTTAATTGACAACTAGAATTTACACACAGATTTAGCCAGAGAGACCTTAGGAGTGCTCATATCACATTCATAAGTAATGGAGCACAATAGTGTCCTTGTTTAACAAAAAGCAATATTCTTGGTTATTCATAACATAAGTAGCTTACTGCTGGTTCTTTGTCATTTGATTTAGTATTTTATTAATTCTTTATATCTCAATACGGATCGCTTATGTTGGGGTTTTGGGGTTTTGGGGTTTTGGGGTTTTGGGGTTTTGGGG